CAGCAGGTCGAGGGAGGTTGTCCTCCCCCTCCACTCTGTCCTGGTGAGGCCACATCTGGAGCACTGTGTCCAGTTCTGGGCCCCCCAGTTCAAGAGAGACAGAGAATTACTGCAGAGAGTGCAGAAGAGGGCTACTAAGATGGTGAGGGGACTGGAGCATCTCTCCTACAAGGAAAGACTGAGAGATCTGGGGCTCTTTAGCCTGGAGAAGAGAAGGCTGAGAAGGGACCTTAACACTTATAAACATCTAAAGGGTGGGTGTCAAGAAGGTGGGGCCAGACTCTTTTCGGTGGTGCACAGTAACAGAACAAGGGGCAACGGGCACAAACTGGAGCACAGGAAGTTCCACCTCAACATGAGGAAAAACTTCTTTACTTTGAGGGTGGCAGAGCACTGGAACAGGCTGCCCAGGGAGGGTGGACCAGATGATCTCTAGAGGTCCCTTCCAACCCCTGCCGTTCTGTGGTTCTGTGTGCTAGCTGTACCTGTACTATGAGAGGCAGTCTCCTCAGTCTTAATGTTAGAATGGGGAAAGTGACCCTCCTTTGAAGATTTTAATGATGTTTTTAGTCCTCTCCCAATTAATTTTTCCTCTCCATCATTCTTACAAGATGCCTTGAGGAAAGTCTGTCTCAAAGATGTTGAAGTAGCAGCTTCAGGAAGGACCTAGATTCTTGAAACCACAACACATGAGTTCAAGTATTAAAACCAGGTGATATGCTGATAATTTAGCAGCTGATGAATGACAGCTGTGCAACAAGCAGCAGCAAAATAAGACTTCTTCACATATACCTAAGTATACACCACTTATGTTAGAAAAATGTGGAAATTAAAAAAAAAATATACATACTTTTTTGTCAATCTAAAGAACCCACTGAAGTTGACACTTAATTTTGGTGCTCATTATAAATTTCTTAGCCTTTTGCTTCTGCCTCTAAGACCCAGGGCTTCAAAAAGAGAAGAATGAAGAGTGGGATAGAAACAAGCTCAAATTTACCAGCATTTATCAACAGGCAGACTTGTGGAAAACAGAGCAGGGAAGAAAGAAGCAGTGCAATAATCACTGCTCAACCACAGAAACATTTTATGATCAAAATCAAAATCCTATCAAGTCCAGATAAAAGTCACTGAAATGGATACAGGAGAGACAGAAATTATCCAGACTGACTGAAATCACTGGGACTTTATTCCAGAGGACAGGCAACAAGCAAGACTGAAAGAATCTCCATTATTACCATGCCATACCTAATATATCCACAACCGGTACATGAAGACAGGCTCGCTATATGATCTAATGGACAACTCTGAGTGCATGCAGACCACTACTTGAATCAGGAGTTTAAGTAAGAAACAGAAGTAAGCAGTACATACAACTATCTTATCATGATAAGTAATGAAGGGGAGAAAGTTCAAGGCTCTCTGTATATCATATGTTTAGATGTATATAAAGCAGAAATAATTGCATATATACTTCTACACAGTGAATAATTGGAAAAATGTACTGCTAGGTATCAAAACTGAGTGGAAAAACAATGCAAAATAGTCGGGGAGAGAACTGACCTTGTTATCAGTTTCACAGTGAACAAGAGCTTCTTTGTAAAATTTAATTGCTTTTTCATAGTTTCGCTGGGCTGTAGAATGTTTCGCAATCTCAGCACAAATTTCAGCCGCTAACTGTTTCTGTGCGGGAACTGCATCCAGCTGTTCTATCTGAGCCCGTTTAAGCACTCTGGCTTGTAATTCCCGTGCCTAGTGTGGGGAAAGGAGTGAATAGTGAAAACTTTTTTAAGGAATGAGTTGTACATTATCTACTTCAAAATAATGTAATTAAGCTTTTTAAAGGTTCTATAAGCGCACTATATATTTTATCAATGAAATCCCCCAAGTCATAAAAAAGCAGGTAAAAAAGACTCTGCTATAAAAAAACCATCTCTATATGACTATAAAAAATGTCAATGAAAACAAGCAAAACAAAACAAAAAATATCTCCCTCAACAACCTGTCTCAAACTGCCTTGTTTCCCCAAAATTCACATTAAAAACATACTGAAAAGCAACTCAGTGTTCAACACTTTCAAGAAGATGGAATCCAAATACACTTTTTCTAAAATACTGCATGACAACTGCATGCCCATCCAATAATATACAATCTACACTCTATAGAACACAATTTTGAGATAATCATACATACAGTATTTTGTGAAACGTAAGGAACAGGACAATAAAGCAAGAAGCCAGGGAGGGATCCAGTTTACCCTTTGTGTACTTGAAGAAAAGGGTGGTCTGAACAAGCTTATTTAATACTCCATCTAAGGAATATTTAAGTCAAATACATTAATTTGAATAAAGATGACACTTTTTTATTGGTCTAAGTCTCTCCTATATTTCTGTGCCTTGCATTATTTATAACTAACCTCTTTCCCAATTCAAATGGTTATGTTCCATTTTATAACTACTAGCAGAGTTGTAATCACAAAAAATGCTGCTGTAGGACATCATTGAATAAAGCCTCATTATTAAAGAGAAAAGCAACAGTTTTGCACACAAGCCCCACAGTTTTGCTTAGACCAATTTTATCATCAACTTCATGAGTTCCTGTTAAGAACTTCCTTAGTCTCCAAGCCACCTTCTTATATCAAAAATATTCAACAGATGTTACACGCCTTGTTCCTTTTTTTTTTTTTTCCTTAAAATGAAGCTTTTGATAAGATGTACAAACAAAACCTCAAAGGCAAAAACCCAGAAGGTTTATGTACTTAACCCTTCTATTAAGCATAGAAAACTGGGGGCGGGGGGACGATGGGACGGACATGACATGGGACACAAAAACCACTTCAAACTATTTTCTGAGGTCCTTCATTTAGGGAATGATTAAGAAGAGTCTAGCTGAAGTACAGAGGTAGAGCTCTTCATTAATAGCAGATGCCCCAATAGCGGGCAGATAAGGAAATAGCTATGCCCAATTCTGACTATGTCTGATCATTTTCTTTGATTTCAACTGCAATTCTAGCAAACACACAATAGTTTCCCTCTTTCTGCTCAAGCAGTTTTGTAACTATCTTAACATTGAAACGAAATGGCAGAAACCTGCTTCACAAGTTGAAGAGAAGGAAGAATTAATTATTGCTTTGCTGCTTCTCACCCCCTTACCATTTTGCTTAGAGGGAAGGAGAATTAAAGCACAAAGTAAAATCTGGGGGGATTTTCTATCACTCTGAAAACCAAGGGAAGAAACCAGTTTAAGAAGTAGCAATAACATGACTGAGCAGTTAGTTCTGCTGAAATAATCAAAATACAGGTAGTTTTGTGTAAACAAATGTGGCAGCAAAACGAAAACGAGCAGGAAAACATTCCAAAGCAAACAGGTACAAGGAAGGACAGCTTTGAGGGCAGTAACAAAAAAGCAACAAAATTAAAAAGGGAGAGACACAAACACAAAGTTTTGGAAGTGTGATGTAGTGAAAAACCTAAAGAACTAAAGAAAAGAATAAGAGAAGTAGACTGCTTTGGGAAAATTTTACTAAAGGAAAACAGGGAAAAAAGTCAATTCTGAGAAAGAAAAAAGTACTTAAGAAAGAAAGACAACATATGAAATAGCAGTATCAGTAGGATTTTAACGCTTATGTACAATTATCTTTGTAACTAATCTACATAATTTACTTTTTTTGCTGTCAGAAGATGCTACCAAGGCTTACTGTTTCTGTAACGGAGTGGAGGTATAACGGAAGATAAGGCACTGACCAAACCCTTCTCAACCTTTGTGTTGAGAAAGCACCTTCTAAACGGATTACATTACCCCTAGCTTCCAACTTTGGTGTTTCAAGCCTCAGTCTGAGTGATAATATACAACTCCAGAATGAACAGATGTTACTACCGCTAATTAAAATAAACAGCAATACATCAACATGACAGGTAGCCATTGAAAGCTGTTGCAGACTGTTCTGTGAGTGGTGGTCAATGCTGAGTTAAAGATAACTAACATAGCTGTCCCCATAGCAAATTTTGCTGCATTCTGATCAAAAATTCAGATAACGTTGCTCACAAAAAGCTTAGACTTTCTTACCACTTATGTTCTTTACATTTCACACCAGTCACTGGTACTTTATCCCTACCATGTATGCGCTTTCCTCATTAACAAAAATATTACGGTTAGAATCTGGGATAAAAGTGAAACCAGGGATAAAAGTGAAGACATTGTAAGCTTTCAGAGGGTTTTTTTTGTTTGTTTTCCCCTTTACCTGTTGTAATGAAACAATAGCTTCGTCAATCTTCTCCATTTTGCTGTAAATTCTTGCCAGAAGCATCTGGTAACGTCCATCTTCCATCAGAGATGACAATTCATTAACTATAAGAATTACATTAAACAAACATGATTCTTGGAAGAACTGATCCTAGTAAAGACAGAGAAAGATGAAGCTTTCCATATATTCCAGGCAAGAGCCTAAATGAAAAGTTCACAGCTCGATCTTATGCATTCAGGACTGTGATTTGATCTGGTGTATTGTTAGTGAGCAGGGTAAACATTACAACCTATGAACAGCAAGATTTAAGATCAAAGACATTGAAAGATGCAAAAGGAACACAAAAAAAATTGACTGTCTAGTCTATTTGCATTCTCAGAAATGTGACAGAAAATTTGATTTAAGTGGACAGGAAATAAAGCCACCCCTGACATTTCTTGTCTAAATCCTCCTCAAACTTAATGAAAAATGTCCAAATTGATTCAATGAGTGCTACTGTACACCCAAAAAGCAGAAGATCGTTTCATGAAATTTCTAGTCAGGCCTCAAACTACCTTTCTTTTGCTACAGTCTGGAACTGACATGAATATGAACAGTTATTTTAACTAAGTATTTCAGTATCTACTCAAAAAAGCAGCAAGCTACTTTTGAATAATGTTTAAAACATATATGCATAAAATAATATTTGAAGAACACAAGCTCTCTCTGGCTTAGACTTATTTTAAACTATTGACAAAGTGGTATCTCGAGCACAGTTCCACATTAAAATTTAAAAGCCACCAAAATGCACGTTACATCTTTTTTAAAACTAAAAAAATAAAAGTAAGTATATTGACCAATACTCTATTGGCAAACTGTCTTCAAAGTGCTGTAATTGTGACATCCTGTTCCAAATCAGAGATACACTATGTAGCCAACTTAAGATCATTCCCTCCAGTACCTTTCCTGTATTTCATTTTTCTTTCACAAACGAAGGACATATTAGCATTTCTAAAAAATATATACTAAACTGCTCAATAATTTTCCCAATCAGCCAATGATATATACTTTTTTTCATGTAGAGAATGCGTGTATATCAAAGACATATAAAAAGGATATTGGCTTATGTATTTTTTGCTTCATTGTGAGATGAAGAGATTTTAAAGTACATTGTGCAAACTGTATTTCCTGCTAATTTATCTTTCCATACGGGAAGACAAGCTGTCTTGAGAATGATTATTAAATTAGCCAGATCCTCAAAGGCTTAACTAAGACAGAAATACGATGTTAAATCAGAGGATTTTTTTTCAGTAAGAAGTAAACAAGACAGAAGACCAACACTTCCCTGCACAGTGTGAAAGACCAGTAAAATAGTGACAGAAGAAAACTTACAGAAGGGAATAGTCATAAGACATGATAATACTGTTTCCGTATTCAGTCACAAAAGTTAACAAATATAATTAAACCACTGAAAAAAAGATTTCCTTAAAGGTATAGCTCAATAGTTCACTCTAAACACCTTAAAACTTAATTGCCTTTTAACAAAACCAAGGAAAGAAATCCAGAAGTTTTGGCTTTGTAAGTGCATATTCTTAATATGTAAGGGGGCCCTAAGACATATCTTCAATGAGTTCAAATCTGGTTGCTCTGAAGGATCCTAGGTAGC